AACTGGTTTGTGTCAGTAGTTGGAGTAACCAGTATTTTATGATAATATACAGGTAAATATATGTGGAATGAAAAGTTATCCTCTATTGCAGCGTGACAACATAGTTTTTAACAGTTTGTGCTCAATTTGTTAAAGGCAATTTAGAAACCAAACAGTGCTTTCAGCATATGGCCCGCTCTATGTTGCAAAAGGCACACATTTTTAATTTAGAGTTGATCTTAATAGAAATTAGTTTTCATGTGATATTTTAAAATGAATTGATTATTTTTATCGTGTTATCCTTTTGTAGTTACACCACTTGACATTTTCAGTCACTTTCAGTCTTTTGTGAAAAACGACATAAATGTTCTTTCAAATAAAATAAAACCAACATAAATACAAAATATACAATATATAAATATTTAACAAATGAAAAGGTTTTGATAACATTTTTGCATTTATTTGTCACTGACCCAAAACCAGCCTGTTAACACTCATAGAAAAGTGTTAAGGTCAGAGACAGAAGTCATGTTAGAAAAGCTCAAAGGTGTGTTGAGCTTTTGCAATGATGACTATTACATCAAGACAGGGAGAAAAAAGGCTGAAGAAGAAAGCATGAGATGAATGTGCAGCAATAAACAAAAGTATATACATATTTATTGAGCCAGTTATTTTCTATGAACTCATTTCATCCTGAAATGTACATTGAGCTTTTGCTGACAGAACTAATTTTGTCATGATACAGGTTGTGTGTGAACTAAATATTTGATCAATCTATACATTATTATTACCCTTACTTATACAAACACAAAATACTGATAGACGCATCCTCTCCCATAAAGGTTAATGGAATATTGATTTTAAGCCATTGGTAAGGACATGCGGTAAGTATAGAATTATCCTCATCCTTAATGCTGCTGCTTTTAATGCATGTTTTGCGTGTCACAATTGTCACACACACACTCGCTCGTAGTAAGTCCTGTGAAGGACCTCCTTCTGTGTTCTCACTTTCTATTCCCTCCACGACTTTCTTCTGTCCCTAACCGTAACCCTGGCCAGAGAAAGATTGCAGAGAGTCCGTAAGGTCTCAGCTGCATTCGCACATACAGCCCCTGTGGAGAAAGTCCAGATGATCCATTCAGTCCATGTCTCAAGGCCACTACATTTGCAAAATAAATATCTGAGCAAACCAAAATGCATCAGTACAAACCAAATGAGAATGGGGTCACTCTGCTCATTAGTCTATCGTGTCCATTCTGAACATGTTTATTTAAAGTTAGATGAATTTCAACTTAGTACACAGAACCCCAAATTGGAGAATCAGCCGTAACCGTATTGACTCCCACTGTCATGAAAGCACTGCCGTTGCCATTGCTACAGATATTAAAAGTTGAATAATACTGAATATAGTGCGTGTCCAAATTGCACCAAATTCCTGAATTTCCTTGGGCCCGTAACAATACACATGCCAAGTGTGAAGCCGATCAGATGAAAGGTTATTGAGATATGAGATTTATCGAATTATTAGACGGATAAAATGCTCTTAACAATCAGTTTTATCTCCCCATTCAATATTGTGAATATAACTGTGTATTCTATGTGTACTATAGTTTAGAGCATGACTGCTTTTTTGAGCTTCTTCAGAATTAGTCCCTGTCATAAGTGAGTCTTACCCATACATACCTACAATGCTCTGTCACTTTGTTATTGTTTGCCTACTGGAGGTTGGGTGCAGAGCATTATATATTTAGTCTATGTTGCAGGGTTAGGAAAATGTTAGAAAATGTTGCTTTCATCCTACCTGGTTTATCTGCAACACAGCTGTTGTGCAGCCATGATCAACTGGATTCTGTTTTTGCTCTGATTTTATAGTCAGTGTTTTTCATTAAATGGAACTGAATTTTCTTTAGTACTGTTTAAGATTGATACATTTTTTTTATTAATTGGTTCTCATTTTGCATGTCGGCTATTTAACAGGTCTGTTGCGCAATCGATTCAATCTTCAGACCCATGTCAACAAATTGTCGTGATTAATTCAGCTCAATAACATGCATTTCAGCATCAGAACTGACCAAAGTGTCCATGAAGGCCCACTCTGGAGTTCCTGTCTCTAATGGAGCGTGAAGAAGAAGGAATTCCTTTAAATCTCCTGCACTTCTCCATATTTACCCACATTAAAATAAACTTCCGTGAGAAAAACATCCTCCATGCAGTTCTCTATGTGGCTATTTTAGATCCCAAAACCCTGCGGAACGTTTTCCCTCCTTCCAGCAGTGAGGCTTTTCTAACACCAGTGTATTTGCTGGTGCCCCCCACTGACCCACACAATACTGATTCTATACGCCTTCAGAGTGTTTGTGAGAGGGGGAGATGTGTGTTTGTGTGTGTGTGTATATACATGTTTGAGTGTGAGTTCAGGAGCAATAAAACAGCCTATGTGTGTATATGGGTGTAAGTGTGGGTGACATGGGTCCCTCTCTGATCAATGCTGATTTACAATAAGAGAAGGGGAAAAAAACCAGAGAGGAGAGGAACAGTAGCTTAAACAAAGTAAGTGGTGAAGTGATACCAGTATCATAAACCAGCAGATGTGAGGGGGAAAAAGCAGATGTCTTTTTTTCTTAATCCTTAAAGCTGCTTTCAGACATTCACTAAACTCTGGATATCCTCCTAAAATCGGAGGTATGTGAGAATGTAAATGGGTGCATACAGCAGGATATTGTCCACAGAATTCACCATATCCGATTGGGCACATTGGTGATGTTCTCTGTGTCTGCTCCACACCAGGTGCGTGTGCAGCGCGCGACGGCTGCATCTTGCAGGCGTGTGTCGTTCACGCGGGGAGTGTGTCTGCTGCGGAGCTGTTGTGTGAGCTTTCTGGTATGACGTCTGGAAAAAAAGTAGCCCGTGTATACTCAACCTCTACCGGACCCACTTCTCCAGACTTTACCCGGACTGTGCCTTTCGCGCGTGCACAATGCAGCGGCATGTTCTGCGCACAGGCGCGTTCACACCAGCATCAAATCCTCAGCATTATTTAGGCGAGAGGTGGATCACGTGACGATGTCCCCGGCACCGTCGCTGGTCTCATCCCCACACACTCTCTTGACATCTTCGTCTGTGTCTTCAACCGTTTTATTTTTTGTGTTTACAGTCGCGTGTTAGAAGCGCCTTCCCCCCCATCCAGCAGGGGATCGCCTGCTGTCTTCACACAGCGGATTCTGCTCTCTTTCTGCGCACTTCAGACCATGAGGCCAGGCGGAAAAAGTCCGCAGAGACTGCGCAGGATGTAACTCTGACATTTGCGCTCACAGATGCACCTCCTCCGGGCAGAATACAGAGGGTCTGCCTGCGATCTGGAGTTCAGTGCGTGTCAGAAAGCAGCTTATGATATAAAGTCTCCCAGTGCGTGCATCACAATGAGTTTGGACATTTGAGGCTCCTGGCCAGACTACAAAATAACAGTAATCATCTTGACCAGTGCACCCTGTAGCTGGGTGTAAGGGAGCAGAAGAGAACAGTGCGTGTGTATGTGCAGGCGCATTAGCCTGTCAACCTCTGTGCAGTCCATTCTGAATAACAGTGATTACTAAGATCATATGGGGGTGGACTAAACCATTTAGGATAAATGATGGCGACCTGCTGCTTTACCCACCTGTGGTTTAAACACAGCGGAACACACAAACACAACTGAATGCACAAACCCACACAGATTGCTATCTTTTTAAAGTCACATGATGGAAAGTATAATAAATTCTTGGCCACACAAGATGTATTGGGCAATCCAATATTATTTAGAAATAGATGAGCAGACATATAAGTGGAACACATACCCTCTGGAAAAGGTTCAATAGCTGTGTGCCAAAGAGACCACTGAATCTGCATGTGTGTGTGTGTGTGTAAAAAGTCTTTCTATTCACACCTTGCATTAGAATAAGTTTTGAATGTGTCGCCACTGACTGTTTGATATTACATCTCACTACCCTGCTCCATATGAAATATGTGTTTTGTGTTATGTAAAAGTCTAAGTATACAGATGTGCCCAGTCTTAACGTGTGTGTACGCACGTTATGTCTGTGCATGTGTTTGTCATCGTGTCGACACAAGCAAGTGA